GACGGAAGGGTCTAGAGAGGGGAGGACATCAGCAGGCTCGACAGGTCAAGTCAGCCCAAGAAGAGGAGGTACAACGGTCGTGACGCTTCGTATCTCCCTCCCCCCTCGCTTCTTTCTCCTCCTCCTTACGTGCGCCGGCACGTTGCTTGTATGCCCCGGCCCATATCCGGTCGAGTAGGTGCCTGTGGGTCGCGGGTGCTGCGAGTGACTGGGGGCGTGGGCGAGGGAGGGACGGAAGGGAAGGGGGGGAACGTGAACAAGGAGGGCGACAGCAACGAGACGCTTGTAAAAGACGACAAGACCAAGTCCTTTCTGCGATCAAGTCGGCCCCAGGTCTTCTTTCCACACCCTTTTTCCCACTTTCCAAATCTCTGATATTTTCCTCCCTCTTTCCCTCCCTCCCTCCTCCCCTCCCCGCCAAACAGACAGACCCTGGCTGTTGCTGCTGGTACGAATAGGCATGCCCGTGAGTGCCGGAGGGGGCATACCCGGATGTATGGCCTGATAAAGGATGAGGGAGGGAGGGAGGAAAGGAGGGAGGGGAGAAGGGGAGAAAGTCAAGGAAAGTGGAGTACAGGGGTGATAAGGGCAAGAGCATCGGAGTCATCCCTTCCTTCCCCTCTGCTCTCCCAGGTAGGGACAGCCTGCTAGCACGGTCGCCCCGTCCGCATTGACCTCGTTCGATCGCATGGGATTTCATTCGCCAAGGCACTCCATCCCCAATTCTGCAGAAACAAGAGGGACGAGAAGGACGCTGTCGCCGCCCCCGACCTCCTCGAGCACCGCTACCACCACCCTGGCCCGAATCTCAGCGCCGCCCGCGCCTTACCTGAGACAGGAGTGCCTTGCAAGGGCGGCTGGACGCTCGTTCCGGGCGCATAGGGGGAGGACGGTGCGTAGGGGGAGGAGGAGGAGTAGGGGTCATCATAGGAAGACGAGACAGGCTCGGCGACAGCGTGGGCTGTGGGGACGCTGGTTGGAGGCGGGTAAGGGCCTCCGCCGCCGCCTGGCATGGTAGATTTAGGCTTAATTTTGCAGCTGTGAAGGGAAACCCCTGAGTGATGAAAGGGACGGGAGAGGAGAAGGGTCGGCAACAGATGAAGTAAAGATGAGGCGGCCACGAGGGAGGAGATGCCAGGACGGGCGACTACATTGTGTAGAAAGTGCACTGTGTGCGATCCGTCCAGCGATGCAATTTACTGGGCTAAAGTATGGGGCTCATTACGATCCAAATCATGGCGCTCACTGGAGGTTAAAGTTATGTGAGCGATCGCGAGGAATACAGAGCATCTCCGGCAGGGGGCGTGATGGATAGAAAAGATCAGGCAGTCATGACTACGCGTTGCAGAGAGTTAAATGCCGGGACAGAGATTCATAACGCATCGGTTGCAATCAATCTTTGCTACCAAGATCAAGGAAATTCACCTTCCTGGAACAGAAGCCCAGGGAGGAGAGCTCGAAAGGAGAAGGGATTGACACGGCGGAAGATATGCGTGAAGGGCTTTTGCCTATCATCTTGACCGCATTGAACACCAGTCAACAGACGAATGGGTTAAAGTGCAGCTTTTCACTTTCATCGCATGAGAATTGTTACGACTTCTCCCGTCGAAGATCAGTTCTCCGCTCCTTCTAATCGCCTTGTACGAGCGATGATGCTGGGGCGGAGCTTGTCCAGTTTTTAAATTTTCGAATTTTAAAACCCGAGAGCTATTCCACTACGCCCCGATGCTTTGCCGATCATCTTACTTCAAGCTTTTCTTGGAACAGACCCCGTGCTGCGGTGCCTGAATGGCTGACTCCATCGGCATATACCGTTATTTACCCCATTTCTGTCAGAATGTCACAAGATGGGATATCTTTATTGCTGTGCGTTGTGTTTGGATCTCAGCAAAAAAAGGATAGATATGTAAGCTGTATGGTGCTGCTGCAAAACCCGGCTTTTCGCGTTTTCATCACGCGTTGAAATTTTGGTTGACATTCTGACCGAATCCTAAAACATTACAACATTAAAGGGTGGTTTCCCCTGTACAGAGGGTCCAAAGATAGAAAATGGTATTTGCGGGTGTGTGGCCTTTGTCGACTGTTGGCACAACTCCTGCAGCACGGGACTCTCCTGCGAGCAACGCACGCCATGAGACAGATGTATCTGTACAAGCCTCGGATTCAACGCCATCTTCTTCTTTCCCTAGCGTGGCCGCGGATGGCAGCACTCCGAACCATGTGACTCATCATCCTGCCCTCAGTGACATGGTGGCCCCCTTGGCGCCAGAGGCCTTACTGGACGCGGTCAACGAAGGAAGCGTCAGTCTCGTGAATTCTCTGTTGTCGCAGGAGCCCTCCCTGGCCAATCACAGGGATGGCTTCGGTCAGGTGAGTGGTTGTGTGAGAGAGGACAAAGGAGGCAGGTCGGGAGGGTGCGGGCAGACGCGCGAGGCTTCGATCCGGAGGGAGGAGGGAGGACGTGTTCAGAAAGGAGAGGAGAGGAGGGGGATGGGGGGCCCTTGATGTAAGAGAAGACGAGGGAGCTTCGAGGGCGACGATGAAAGGGAGGGAAGAGCCGACGTGGGTAGGAAAATTCAACAGCCAGCCCCTGCCTCACCCTTGTCCTGTCGTCTTGTGCACTCCCTGGTGCGGGAGGCGGACTGTGTTCT